CTACGGACTTGCATGGAGAAAACAAATTTTCTCGTACAATCAGAGAACTCTACTTAAGCAAGTTCCCCGACTGACACTGTCAGCTGTCATGAAGTTACAAATTCGGCGTGTCTGTACACATGAAGTACGCGTGCGTCCAAGCTGAACTTAAAGTCCTTAGCTCACACAAAGGCACAGAGTACCCTTGTGAAATTTTACTTTCCTATTTTGCCTGGTACCGAAGTGCTTTCCCCGCCATAAAATTCGCATAGATTTTTGAAGCGTTCGTACGTGAAATCCAGCAATTCGTAAACGATGATTTTAACCCAGTCTCGAGCGCACCAGGCTTGTCAATGCGATCGTACGTTTTTGCACCAAACTTGAATCAATCAGTTTGTTAACTGCATGATTGGTTGTTGCTTTAACTTGTGCGATCACTAGCGCAAATCATCGAAGAAATTGCATAAAGGAAAATGAACAATTTCCTTTTAGCGGTCGTTCCTTGAAAATGACCTAGCTGCTCTGTGCGAATTTTTTCCGTCAAAACTTTTAACTGCCCGTATGTGAGGAGGCTGAATTCGAAATCTTCAAGCTGTACGTGGATGGGAAATATCCTCTTAAAATTTCAGTCCTCCAGCTTTTCTGGCTATATGAGTTAACAATTTTCCCGCCAAAAATTTACATACTGATGCGTAAGAACCACGAACACCTAGGAGCTGAACTTGAAATCTTTAGCTTACACATATGCAGAAATTAGCCCTGCGAAGTTTCAGTTCTCTATCTTGTAGCGAAGATTTTAAAACGGGAGGATGACACACGGGTTGGGAACATATACCCAAAATTTTGGCCCCCAGCTTTCCTGGCTGTTGAGTTGTAAGTGGATGACAAAGTTGACTCGCTTCCGAACATAAACACACAGACACACACAGACGATCTCTCGACAATATGCGTTTTGTTTAGTTCCCGAGATTGCTTTTCCACCAAAAATTTGCCTATTTTTTGAGGCATCCGTGCGTGAAATCCTAGCGTACGTGGATGATAATATTAAAACGGGAAGGTAGCACAGCTGGTGGGCACATACTCCCGAGGTTTCAGCTTCCTGACTTTTCTGGTTCTCACGTTGAAATTGGGTGACAAAAGATGCGAACACACAAATACACAGTAAGCCTCTTGCCAATGTGCGTTTTTGCATTTACATATGTGCAAAAACGCATAAAAATGGAGCATCTCACATGGAGCCAGGAGATGCCGCAGAAATTTTAGTTCCCCAGCTTCACCGGTTGCTGAGTTGAAAGTGGGTGACAGAAGTGCGAACACAGACACACAGACACACACACACACACACACGTGTCGGCAACCTCTCATGAATATGAATTTGCATCTGCATAAATGTGCAAAAATACATAAAAATTATGAAAATATTTGCAAAAAACCAAATTGGGGAAATGATTAGAGGTTATTCCAAACGCCTCAGATTACGTACCGCATATGCCAGTAAACTGACATCCTTGACAAGATGGTCCGTCAAAGCATAAAAATGTGATACAACGAATACATGTGGGCAATCGTCTTTTCCCTTTCGAATCCAGTAATTCAACGATGCTTTCAACAGCGAAAATCCTGATTCCTTGAATATTTACAAAAATCATCGCGTGCTTTGAAAAATAAACTGTCAGTTTCACAATAATCTGAGCGAGCAACAATTTGGCTTTATTCCAAAAATAGTGCAAGTGAATAAGAAAACATACCATAAGCGTGCCAACACCAAACTCGTCTATTAAAATTAACGAATTACCAGTCCCGCGCCTTAAAGCAACTGCCATCTGGAAATTAAAGATGAAGCAAAAAATTGATAATCACCAAGTGCTGCAGGAATGGTGCGAGATGCTCGTCCTCATTCCCTCCGACGTTGAAAGGGGTTGAAGTCTTCAGGAGGAATGAAACTGAATTAAGCCGTCGAAAAGTGAAAGGAAGAAAAGCTGATCAAATTTATTTGTTGCTTAAAGAATCAACCGTCTGCCTCTTCTTGCTCGACTAGCCAAAACTTAACTAGAAAAGTGCAGACCGGAAAAAATTAACCTGTGACACGTCTTCTGCAAAAGAGGACATTCCATCAAGCACACAGTCTACGGAGCGTATCCGCGTAATAATTCTGTTCACGGGTCCAATGTATGCCCTTTTCGCGGGCACGAAACTACCAATATGAGCAAGAAATACGATGATCCCGATCTGTAAGGAAAACCCATGAGCACCTCTACAGTACCACTGCTCATAATGCTTAATAATAAATTTGTCTTCAAAAAATTACAGAAAAACCTAACCAAACGGAAAATTAAAACAATTTCTACCAAGCCTCTTCCTAAAAATTTTCCAACGCTAGACTTGAGGCGTCGTAGCAAATGATGTTGATGCTGATATTGAACATTTTTCTTGACAAACTCAACCAGTGCTAAGGCACTACCACAGAAGATTTCATCACAATGCTCAAAAACTGCTGTCGCTAGGTGACGCTTACTCTCTTTTGAACGCGAAAAAAAAAGCACGCAGTGAAACAGTTAAGAACACACGTTTTGTGCAGTTCCGTTCAGCGGACGTTTGCAAAAATTTTCATTGCTTTACAGTTTGCTACGCACAAAAATAGTCGAAGCGTCATTTGATTCCCGGACTACAAAATTTTTTACCGAAAATTTCACGTGTCCGTACGTGAGACATAGGCGTACTTAAGGGCTGAATTTAAGTTTGTAAAACTGCACGCGAACAGAAAAAAACACATTAGCAAATATTAGCTATCTTGTCTAGTTTCCGGGCTAAAAGTTTGCCACTGAAATTCTTGGTGTTGTACGCAAGACTTATGCGAGCATGAATGTTGATTTGAAATACCGGAATTAATAACAATATGCACCATCCTAAATTTCCAACTTTTAGTCATATTGGACTCTCGAAGCAAGAAATTTCCTGCCAAAACACCACACGTCCGTAATGTGAGACCTAGAGTTATTTGGAATCTGAGTATAAATTTGTCTGGTCATACGTTGACAGGAAGCATCTTTATAAAATACTAGCTTTCTATCCTGTCCAGCTTCCAAGTCAGAAGGTTTACAGTCGAAACCTTAACGTGTTCGTACGTAAGACTCAGCCGTACGTAAAAGATAAACTCGAATGTGCGAGGCCCGCATAAGCAAAAATATCGTTCTGAACTTTCAGCTTCCTAACTTTCCAGGCCCTCGAGTTTGTGATTTTCGCGTCAAAATTTTAAATGTCTTTACATGAAACCTAGTCGTACATAAAAATTGGATTTGAAATTTTTGGTCCTTGCGCAGACGGGAAATATCCTCCTAAAATTTCACCTCCTTAGTTTTTTTAGTTTCTAAGACAGTAACTTTCCAGCTAAATCTTTTAAGGTGACTGTGCGTGAGACGCAGGGGTACGTAAAGGCTGAATTTAAACTTGCTAGGTCATACGCAGGCAGGGATAATATTCTTAAAATTCGAGCTTCTTAGTTTTTCTGGTCCTTGAGTTGAAGTCTCGGGACAAAGTGTACTTGGACACACACAAGCACACACACATGGACTTACACACATACACACAGACGGATCGTGACAACATGCGTTTTGTCCGACTGTTACAGCACAAAACACATAAAAGTAACAAAAAATAACGAACTTTCTGGTGGAGGAAATCAGCGAAAGTAGTAGGGAAAAAATTAGCATGAACAAAGTTTGAAAAGAGGCGCAGCTGCATTTAGAACACATCTATTAGACAAGAAACGTCGCGAGCACTAGATAGGAAGCGCATGGAAAAGATATGCAGAAATTTCTACAAAGATTGTTTCGGCCCGGTTCTGCAACATGTGACCTTCGCCTTCTTTTGTACGCCTTCGCACTATCGATATTCATCAGCGATTTCAAAACTGTAGTGTGTAATAAAGTTCAGAAGAGCAACGGGACCGAATAAAAACTGCACGGAAAAAACGAAAGCAACGGACAAAAAAATCAGAAAGGTTAAACAACGTACGCTTAACTCGATAGCTTGAATTGAAACAGATGCCATGGCCTGGAATAGGACCTAGGAAGCTACTTCTAAAAAACAAAAGAGCGGAAAAAATCGTGACTGTAGCGCAGTATGACTATTCTTATTGTGTGTAAGTTATTCACGCTTGCAAATTGTGCACGAATTGAGACAGTTTGCGACATCGAGAACAGAACAAGCAGAATCTAGAAAACAGTTTATTGCGGTCGTTACATTTTAGGGAATAAAGATTAGTATGAGATGACGAGCATTGCAGTGCATACTGCAGTTCCGGCAAGAACGACATGATCAAGCCAACATGCGCTGAAAAGAAAAACCGAGTTGGTAATGCGGTAAAAACGAAAAGTAGAAAGCAGCCGAACGTGAAGCTGCACCCGACTGGTCGCAGACGAACACTGGGACGATTGTTTATCCAGCAAGCGGATTTAACATTAGTTTTGGAGATAAAGGAACAATATAAATATCATGTGTAACGACTGATGTTTTGTGATTCATCCCTTAGCTGTAAATACAGACGTGCGGGTATGAATGGGAATCATACAGCCTTCTTTCTCCACGTACTTAATGAGTGTGCTTCTGGGCACTAGACATTAGGCGAAGGAAAAGGATGAGAAGTACTACAAAAATGAGGAAGAAAGTGCAGGACAAATCATGCATGTTGGCATCTTTCACTGGAGGTCCACTTTGGAAGTTTATTTTGAAGTGATGAGAAGAGCCACTCCATTCCGCACCGTGTAACTTAAGTGCTTTTAGGGCACGCGGCTGGCCTCGTACACAGCCAACAAGAACAGCCAATCAGTTGCGTCAAAAACGACAGAGTAGATGTTGAAACAGCAGCTGCTCAGACAAAAAAAAAGTTTTTTACGCTACTTCTAGAAGTTGCTATTCTCTGATATAGGACTGCTGTTGCTTTTCAGTAATGGAAACCTGTTTCAGATAGATGCTTTTGCCAGATGCGTTTGGTCCCATTAAAATCTTGACTTTTGTTTGGTCACCACCAGAGCTGCAAAATGTTGTCAGTAATAAGGAAATGGAATTTCGTCAAAAGAAGACCAAACTAGGTGAAATAGCGTAATTAAATGAACGACATTTACTCTGCAAAGTGTAATTTTAAATATTTTTTCACACAAGATTAATTAACACAAGCGCGAAGTGACTTCGTAGACGAGGGCAGATTTGGAGTT